TCCCTCAAATCAAGGTATTTTCACAGGAGATTATCTTTTGAAGAAAAAACAGAAGACACCTGGAGCTACTCTGATCTCAAGGATAATTTCCTTAAACATTCTCAATTTGATCCTATTGGCTAATAATTTTCAACCACATCTAGTACCATTCTTCCAGGAGGTATATTTAAACATCAGGGGAATTTTTGGTAGTTACCATGACGGAGGGGAAGCTATCAGCATATGGAGGACAGGGGTCAAAGGTACTTAATGTCCTGCAATGAAACAGGCATTCCCACATCAAGAAGAGGTGTCCTGCCAAAACGCCAACAGTAGCAGCTGTTAGGAAACACTGTCACGTGCTGCTGTTTATCACTGAACACACCTTTGGCATACTTGAGAAGAACTGATAGAACTCTGGATTCTTATATTTTGGAGAATCAGATTTAAAATAAGGCAAATATCATTAATGCAGTTCATCCCTTAGAAACTGTTGAAGTAAATCCATGCCTTTTACTTTTGCTTTGTATTCATAGCTAATCTAATTCCAAAAGAAACTGTATTCAAGTAAATAACTTAGCAGGGCACCTTCTTCTTACAAATTATAATTCATCTGCATATTAACTCTAATCAGAATCTGTTTAGAGGTATAGACTTCTAATAAGAACACATTTATTGTGTTATTAGGTGAGTAAACTGGCGCCAAAGTTTGACATAAAAAACTTTCTAAATATACCAACGTTTTATGCAGATCTTTATTTTTCTAAACAAATATTTTTCTTGTGTTCACCACATGTACTTAATATTTTTAACTGAAAAATTGCTGCTTTAATGCCAAATACTACCAAAAATTAATTATCAGTTTAGATAATTGAACCACATATGTCAATTTTTGCAGGGCTATCTAATTGCATAAAACCTTTAACAAAAGTATCTTTATACCAGCATTGCATAGCTGTCACTCAAATTCCCTGTAAGATTTTCATGAACTCATTTGGGATTTAAATGAATATTAATGAAAACATTCACAGGAGGTTTTTGTAGCAGGACAGGAAAGTGTTTTCAAAAATATTGGCATTACTTGTTAACACTGATATTTATGAATATGTTGAAAACGTCTCTGGTGTACCCAAGCACCAATCAGTCCAGTGCTAACTGGACTAGTTTTATTATAGTCAAGTTCAGTTTGTTTAACTTGTGGTTAATTTTTTCCCAGTGCTCGATTATTACTGTTTATACATAAATGTGCATACCCCCTTCTTGTTTACTAACGACCATGTATATGGGATAAATGTGGCTTTTTTTTTTCCCTCTCTAGACAATGGTCCATATTAGGCTATTCTCTCACATTATGACTGTAAACTACTGATCTCCCAGGTAGGCAGACCAGGCACCTCAGTTCACCATTTGAGGGGCCAACTGAGAAAACGAAGTTTTCTCTTTAAAAAAATCTTTTAAGCTCTGTTTCTCGCTAAGACTTGGTGTACAGTTGTTTCTCAATACATTTCCTAATCACTTTGATCCAGTTTTGAGAAAGGCTGTGACACACCAAAATGACCTCTTAGACAATGAGAGTCCATGTAACAGTTCATGAGGCAATCCAACACTGTTAGGCCATCTAATGGGAAACATGGCATTTATAAGAGTTCCTAAATATCTGTCAAGAATAAGGCAGTGATCTTTACAACAACCTAACAGTCTCAAGGCCACATAATTAATATGTACACTAGCTGCCATTATATATGTGCTTGGCACAGTGCTAAGAATTTCACAGGTATTAACTCATTTGACCTTTACTCCCATTATATGAAATTGAATATTATCCTCTTTTTGTACATGAAGAAATGAAGAAACAGTTTTTGAGAAGTTTTTGCACATGAAGAAACCAAGATTTCGAGAGGTTTGGCAATCTGTCCTAGCTGGTAAAAGGCAGAGCCAGGATAAAAACCCAGAGAGACCAGACTACAGAGGCCCTGCTTTTACCCTCTTCCCTCCTTTGCCCGAGACCCGGGCCTTTAGCTGTGGAATCTGAGCAAGTTAACTCTTGGTGCCTAAATTCCTCTTCTACAAATGTAGATATTGATAGACTCACAGAGAGTAGTAGCATAGTGCCTAGAACTTGGTAAACATTACAGAGATGTTGCTACAGTCCTATACTCTTGGGCTTCTCAAAGTAGGTGGACTGTAGTCCGCCCCAAGGGTAGAATAAATTGCAGCTCAGTCTCTTCTTCCAAAAAAATGGAACTCGATCATGGGCAGAGATAATTTCCAGGGAAAGAGTCTCCTTCCCTCATAGCAAGAAGAAAAGTCTCCATTTCCTGCCTATACACAGTCACTCAACAGGCAAAAGAATGGGGCTGGATACACCAGTTTCTGAGGCGAGGTGCCTTTCTCACACTGCCTTTGATCAGTTCTTAAAAACATTTCTTACAACTGCTAAATCCCTTTCAAGTTATTTAGGATATACGTCTCTTACATTGAGAAGGAAACTGACTGAAAGCTAACAGGACATTGTGATGAGCCCCAGGTGTCAGAAGTGTCAAATCACTACGTCGCACACCTGAAACTAATATTATTACGCTGTATGTTAACTGGAATTTAAATGAAAACTTAAATTAAAAAAATAAATAAAACTTATATCTAACAACAACAACAAAGCACTAATAGTATAGGAGGAAGATTAACCTGGATAACCAGATGTGAAGTTTTTTGAGAACAGAATTCCACTCCCATCCACCTTGGTAACCATAGTGCAGTGTCTGGAATGATTCCAGAGGTTCAAAAATAGCTAGTCTATGTTTTAGGTGTTTTCCATAAACGTTATTCCTCATGATAGCACCTCAGGGTAGATACTACCAACCACATTTTAGAGATAAGAAAAACTGAGGAAATTGTTAAATAATTGCTCAACCTTACGAAAGTACAAAACTGACCTTGAAATCTAACTCTGAAGTTAATTACCTTTTTCCATGTGAATATCTTAAAAGAAAAAAAAGTTTACTGAATATAAATATAGAAATAAAAGTAAATGCAGGAGACCTCCTTTTATTTCAGATTCATGATCCAGGAATGACTCTGGATGAGGGTTATTTCCATAGGTCACTCTGCCCTTCTTCCCTTCAGGAGGGCTCAAGGCTGAAAATATAAGCTATGTATTATAAAAGAGTAAATGCATACCCAGAAATAAACTGAGCATTTATAGGAGGATTCAAGAACTTGGACATTGGGAAATGGTATTAAAATTTCACATCACTTACCATTATTAAAACACTCCCTGGGGAGAAAAAGCAGTATGTAATTGCAAACTGCTGATGTGAGTTTTGGGAAAAAAAAAAAAAAAAAAAAAAAAAACAGTTTCTGACTTTATGAGTTGTTACACAACACACTGAGTTGCTTAAGGTAATAATCTTTCCCTTTCACTGAATCATTCAGTTGCCCATTCACTTAGATTGCTTTAAATGTAATGTGTTCAGAAGCAGAAAGTGGAGTTAAGACTGCTTCACCAGGGCTAAATAAGGGTCACCTTGTTCAACCCTCATCTACTCTCTGCAGCCACCACCCAGCTTTGATACTCAGCCACACTTAGCTGAAATGCACACTTAGTACTTGTGGTTCCAAGGACGACAGCACATTCAAGTCAATGCGTCTTTTGAAAGTTTGCAGCCCTTCTGAGCTCTCAACTTGTGCTCAACCATAAGCACGCAGTGCCAGGAAAGGGCATCTAGCGCCCACTGTTTCCTCCTGACCAGTCTTTTCCCCAACGCCCTCGTGATGCCTGACTATTTTAATTCTCCACTGTGTCTCTTTTGGACCAGGAAAGGAGGAGGACATGAAATATTAGCTTTCCTACAAACACCAGCCAGCTCTCAGTCAACCCAACCCACTGAGTACTTCTCCAGGAAGAGATGGCAGTCACTTAAGAGAAACCGCTCGGGGGGGGGGGGGGGGGGGGGGGGGGGGGGGGGGTGGTGGGTGTGTGGGTGTGTGTGTGTGGGTGTGTGTGTTTTAATATCCCTGGAGTAAACCACAAAATCCCCTCGCCAGACCTACCAGGAAAGTGGCCTTGGTCATGACCACCCTCACCAAGGCAGTCTGCAATCCCTTGAGCGGAAGTAAGGGAGAAAAGGGGCTGCAAAGGGCAGTAGCTGGGGAGCAGCCGCTGAGGGTAGGCGGTTCACACGTGAGCCGCGTCTCTAGCCTCCAACAATACCTGCCCAGGCCTGGCGCCCCCAGCGTGGCGCAGCGGCCCAGGAAACCCGCGTGATACTGGAAGACGCAGGCCCTCCTCGACCCCGGTCCAATCACGCTCCCTTCTGCCCGAGCGCAGGCCTCTCCCCGACGCATCTTTCCATCCGCCTCCGCCCCACTATACAACCTGGGGACCAAAAAATTAGGAAGACACCTCCTCCCCGTTGGTCCCCTCCTCTCAGCCTCTCCAAGCCCCGATCATGGGTTACAAGAAAAGACCCTCCCTTCACACACTTCCCCCACCACTCGTCCGCAATTGCTCGGCAACCAGACCACCCCGGGCTGTTACCGGGTCTGAGACGGGATGCCGGCGACAGGCGCGCTGGCGACACGCCTGTTGGGGACCAGCCCTGGGAGACTCGTGGGCCAAGGAGAGGGGGAGCAGTGCGTGGGCAGTCTGCGCAAGAGCCCAGAGGATACGCACTTCCTAGCCAAAAGCACGCGGGCGCTTCCAGCCCAGGACCCCTCGGGCCCACCTCCCCGACGCGCGCGCATAGGGGCGCGCGCCCGAGCCCGCGTAGGCTGCGGCCCCCTCAGCTCCCGCGCAGCTGTCCGTGCGTCTCATTGACGCGAGCTCTCCTGCCGCCGCGGCTCAGGGGGTTTTTGTCTATATAAGGGCTGCCTGGCCCGCTCTGCGTCGGCGCGTTTGTCGCCGACTATCCATTATTTTTACACACGCGTGCGGCTCCGCCGGCAGCTGGTTTGGCAGGGGCACGCTCGCCTTCCTCTCGCCGGCGCCGCCGCCTCCCCCCTCCCTCCCGGGGTGTACTTACTTCACCCGATGTCTGGCACGGGGTGGGCGCTGCAGCAGTCCGTTTCGCCCCCGCCGCCGCAGCCGGTTCGCTTCGCTGTCCCCGGGTGAATGGAATTATTTATTTATTTCTGTCCCTAGACTTGTCCTCGCCCGCCGCAGCCGGCGGAGGAGGGGTGGAGGGTGGAGGGGAGGCACGGCGGCTGAGCGCCCTAGTTGGTGCCCGGGAGCGCGCGCCGCCGGGCGGCGGGAGTGGAGGAGGAGGGCGGGGGCGAGCGCTCTGGGCTGTCCGCGAGCCCGCCGGCCGCGGGTGGGGGCGAACCCCGCCCTGTGACTCAGGGCCGACTGAGCATGCTCCCAGCGACTGTCACCGCTGTAGACACTCTCTGGGGCTCTCGGCCCTTCACTTCAGAGTTTAGTTTGGGCCAAGAAAGAAAATCAAGAGTCGGATAAGAAGACCTTTTGTTCCGGATCGGTCGTGACACGTTTTACTGAAGTACGTTGGCGGCGAGCCTAGAGGCCAGGTGTGCAGTAGCTCTACTTCGGTACCCTCGGGAAGTTGTGCAATCTCTATGAGCGGGAAAGTGTGCACGGGTGAGGAGCCTACACAGTGCAGGGAAATTTGAAGATTCTCATTGTGAGTGTGGCAGGAAAGTGTTGGGCCGTTTTTCAATTAAGGTCTTTTTTTGGAGCGAAGGGAGGAATGGCAGGGATGGAGATTAGGCTCACCAACCAGAGCACGGGAAAGATAAAATTTACACCGTGGAACAAGGAGTACAGAAAATAGTACAAAAAGAGCTTGAAAGCAGGAAAGAAATGAAGTAAAGTCACTGTAACTAATTTCTCCCATTTTTAGTTTCTCAGATTATTTAATTCTTCCAAGTAGGATTTAATATTTGTCAATGAATAGTGCTGGGGATAATGGTAATTCCACAACCATTAGTTTGGTTTGTTCTACCTTTATTTATTTTATTTTTTTCTTCACTGTCTAGAACATGTATTTTGGGGAAGCTAGAAAGAGGAAGGGCTGGAAGTGAACATTTAGTAACACCAAAGATTGGTTTCCTTAAATGTCTTCAGAGTTGAACTGCTTCTTAGAAGAAAAGGAACAACAAGAAATATGGGGTTGGGGCGCCTGGGTGGCTCAGTGGGTTGGGCCTCTGCCTTCGGCTCACGTCATGGTCTCGGGGTCCTGGGATCGAGCCCCACATCGGGGTCTCTGCTCGGCAGGGAGCCTGCTTCCCTCTCTCTCTCTTTCTCTGCCTGCCTCTCTGCCTACTTGTGATCTCTCTGTGTCAAATAAATATATAAAATCTTTTAAAAAAAAAATGTGGGGTTGAATTTGAGAATTGGGATTGTCGTTTTTCTGTCAGTGTAACAGAACTTCACCTCCAATACACATACCTCTCTGCTCCTGAAAATGGGGAAAAGATACAAAGTTATTGTAAGGACCTATTTTATATTTTTATTTTAGCCAGAGGCTTCCATTGATGTTAAACAATAACTTTGTTGTTTAACCCTTAAACTGTCCCTGCTTCTCTTCCCCCAGGCGCTTAAAAACAAGTCCCAGAAACCAGCTCCAGGTGTGGAGGCCAAGAAAAACAAGGCTGTACCCACCTCGGGTCTGGCTCTGACATAAGTACAGCCATCTTTGGCAAAGCAAAAGCCGGCACCTTGCACTGTAAGAGTGGGTTAGCATAAGAATGGCCATCCTGAAGGCCCGGAAGCCATTTTACTGAGTGTCCCTAACAGGCCGACACTGCGTATACCACCAGGGCGGTTAGGTGATGGCACCACAGGGACCAAATGTTGGAGAAAAACAAATAGTTAACTTGCAGAGATCACAATCCTGCTAGACCCGAGTCTCCCTTGGTTTGCAAATGTCCTGGTGATTTACAACAAAAAGGCCACCTTTTCAATGGTTAAGTACCTCGAGGCCAAAGGTCGCCCTCCCCACCATAAAACTGTAGGAGGCTGAGGCAGAAGGAAATGTAAGTAAGGTGAAAATTCTTCTAAACTCACTTAACCGCCAGGGTGACACTGGGGTAGCAAAAAGTTAAAGTTAAACTGTCAAAGTGGGGCGCAAGAGATGTATGTAGCTATGAAAAAATGCCTTGAAAATGCTATATAAACCCTTGGCTTTGAGTGCTCGGGGGTCCTTGTTGAAACCCGCTGCGCTGGGCGGATACTTGGACCCCAGCTAGCTGGAAATAAACCTCACTGTGTGACTTGCATTATCGAGAGTGTTCTCTGTCTAATTGAGGGGTCTTCAACTCCGTACCCTAACAGTTATGTCAATCTTAGATATTAATATAACTTCCTGGAAGCTTTTCTTATTTATTCTAGAACTGAAATCATTTATAAGAAGTCAAGATAACTTAGTTGAAATAACTGAAGCTTTGAAGCTGCAGGGACAGGAATCAAAATAGTAATAACAGTAACAGTAATAATAATAATAATTGCTTATTTATAAGTGTTTATCACCGTCAGGAACTGTCCTAAGCGCTTTAATGGGTTATTTCAATTAATAAAATACTATGATTTTTCACATTTTACAAATTTGGAAATAGACAAGCATAGGGGGAGGAAAACTTTTTCCCTTCTTCCCTTCTATGTTCTTTGATTGGTCTAATAAGTAAATTGACATAAGACAGATTAACAGGAGAAACACAAATTCTTATGTCAGAGTCCATAAAAATATGAGACTCAAAGAAGTGACCAAAGCAGACAAGGTTGGTTTCTACCTCCTTATAGGCCCTGAATTCTCTATCTCCAGTGATAGGGATGTCTCTCTACCTCCTGGTACTGAGAGGGTAACTTAACATGGGAGATTTACTTCCTGTTTTCACAGGGACAAAAGGTGGTCAGAGTGTCCTTCTTGTACTGGATGTTTCCCAAGTAACTTTAATTCAAAATAATCAATATGCCAAAGTGGCCTATTTGGGGATAGCATTTTCTGCCCCCCCCCTTCACAAGTTAAAGTCGTTTAGCTAAATTCACATTGTCCTGCTTCTGCCACAGCCCGTTTGTAGGCTAGTACAAAACTTGAATCTTAGGGGCGCCTGGGTGGCTCAGTGGGTTAAAGCCTCTGCCTTCGGCTTGGGTTATGGTCCCAGGGTCCTGGGATCGAGCCCCGCATAGGGCTCTCTGCTCGGCGGGGAGCCTGCTTCCTCCTCTCTCTCTGCCTTCCTCTCTGCCTACTTGTGATCTCTGTCAAATAAATAAATAAAATCTTTAAAAAAAAAAAAAAACACTTGAATCTTAGTTTCTACAGCTACCAAGTAGAAATAATATCAACTTGTTATTTCTGTCATAAGATTTAGGTGAAAGGATATATGTATAGTAAATGGTAGATAATACAAGTGAATAAATGTTGCCTATTAGTAATTTCAAGAAGTTGGAAGACCGTTTTACAGAGGAAGGATGTTGGAAATGAAGGAACTAAAGCAAAAAATTCCAGAAAGAACTAGTGTGAAGTGACATTTATATAAAATATCATAGGCATCTGATAGTGATAACATGTCTAGCAGTGACTATAAACATTTCATTTTCCTCACAAAAAATAATGTTAAATTTTGAAAAGAAACAACACCAAGACATACATCTCTAGGTCATGTTCTTCAATGTTTCCTATTGCCATTTTTCCTGCTTGTTCATCACTCATTTCCTTTCAAAGATGAGAAAGAAGAAAGACCATATATTTTCTGAATTTTTTTTTTAAAGATTTTTTATTTATTTATTTATTTATTTGACAGAGAGAGATCACAAGTAGACGGAGAGGCAGGCAGAGAGAGAGAGAGAGAGAGAGAGGGAAGCAGGTTCCCTGCTGAGCAGAGAACCCGATGTGGGACTCTATCCCAGGACCCTGAGATCATGACCTGAGCCAAAGGCAGCGGCTTAACCCACTGAGCCACCCAGGCGCCCCTATTTTCTGAATTTTGACCCCATTCTACATTTTCCTTCTTTTCGACTTTTTTTCTTCTTTTCTGTTTTTGTTTGTTGTTTATTTTTACAGCCCCACATTCTTGGTTCATCTAATTCATTGTCAAATTTCTAAACATCACCGCCCATAGCATGAATCATAACTGTATCAAGTTTTGTTTTGTTTTAATTCTTGTTTTCCCAACAATTAAAACTCTGGATCTAATTTACCTACTGCCCCAGTGTTAGTATTTGGGGATTCATCTTTAAGTTGCCTTATTGCTATGGTTAGGCATGCTATGTAAATATTTGTTTTGATTAGAAAGGAATCTGAAAGGGAATTAGGTGGGAACAAATCTAGTCAGTTTTTCCTATGACATGGTGTTAATATTACTCAGAAGTTGAGAAAAGAATACAATTAAGGGAAAGGACAAACTGTATGATCAGAACCTAAATGTTTTTGGTAAAATGTTTTGCCTGGATTTCTATTCATAAGGTGAAATAACAGTGGAAGAAACAAAGAAAAACAATATATTCAATATCCTAGCAACCCCTTTTCCACAAATAAGTATACTAGTAAATACATTAATCGCATATAAACTAATAAAGCTCAAATATCTTGTACTGTCTACCCACAGCCCTACCCTCAGCTATGAGGTTCTGTACCCTCATCTATGAACTGTCAGGTTCTTCACTCCTCAATCATGCCATATCTTCTCACATTTGCTGACTTTTTGCATTCCCCATTTTCTCTTTTTCGTGTCAAACTTGTCTGAGCCTTGTTTTTTCTTCAGGTCCAGCAAATGTGTCATCGCCTCTCTAGCATTTCAAGGATTCCTTCAATAAGAATTAATTCCATCTTCCTCTGTGTTCTTTTTCATAGAACATGGTGTATGACTCTATTTGGGGCACCCCTTTCTGCTTTACATTATGTCTATATTATAATTTTTTTTCTGTCTCCCCAAACTATTAGGTTGTTGGAGGACAGAGATGACATTTACACATCTCTGTAGTCTTCCAGTATCTGGCACAAATTCTTGCAGATAGAAGGTAATCAATGTTTGCCAGTTGGAGGAAAGAAATAATAGTGTGACTTGAAGGAACAGATATCTGGTAGAGGTTGTTGGTGCTCACAATTTCCATGATCTGCATTTCCCAGCTTCTCTTACAGTTATATT